AAGAAAGAAAGAAAGAAAGAAAGAAAGAAAGAAAGAAAGAAAGAAAATAAATGTTTGCTGATTGCTTGATTTCTCCCCAGGTTCTGCCTTGTCATGTGTATGCTCTTCACTCAGGGGTCTCCCTACCCTTAATAGCTGGTGCGCAGCGCACAGGGGTTCCCTCCTCCCGCCGCCCGGGGGCGCTGTCGCTCTGGGCCGCGCCGGGCCAGGGCGCCGGGTGCCCTTCTTGGCCCGGCAGCGGCGGCAGTGTCTGCGGAGAGGCCGGCGGCGGGCGGGTCCGCGAGGAACCGGAAGTGCGGGAGCCGCCACCGCCGGGAGCCGCGTTCACCAGTGTTGCCCGCCCGCCCTCCGGCAGCTGAGGAGCCGCTCGGCGCTGGGACAGTCGCCGCAGCCGGGACTGAAGTCTAGGGAGGGCGGGGCGCGGCATGAAGCGGCGGCGGCCCAGTCTGTAGGGCGCGTCGGGACCGGCCGGCCGGGCGGGGCTGAGGGGAAGGTGCAGTATCCGCCCCCACCCTCCAACTCCCGCGGGCTCGGGACGGGGCGCAGCGGCCGGGGGCCCAAGACTCTCAACGCCTCCTCCCGAGCCCCCTCCACTGTCCCCGGCCCTGCCCCTCCACGCTCCCTCCCCCTGCCTACCTCTCCCCACACCGGCCTCTCCCGCCCTCCACCCCTCGATAACCCCTCACTCCGGAGCGCTAACAGTCACTCCCCCATTAACGTCCAGTTCCCTCCCCCCACCCCTCTTGGGTCACTCCTCTTCCCCAGCTTGGCCCTTCCTGTTCCACCTTCCGCCCAATGAGAGCGCTCCATCCGCCCGCCCCGGCCGCTCCCCCGAGGGCTCCGGGGGCTGGTGCTGGGGGACACCCCTCAATCTCTCCCCCTCCCCGGCTTTCTAGGCCGTAGCTCTGGTAGCCCTGCACCCCCCGACCTGTGCCTTCTCCTCGTTCCTTCCACCTCCTCCCGTGGGGACTCTGGCGTGCATCCACAAGGGAGTCCGAGCTGAGGTTCGCCCCTTTGAGGTAGCCCCTTTAAAGATGTCAATTTGGTGGCCTGGTTCCTAAAAACTGAAGTAGCTGAGACAACGACTTTTTTTTTCTTTAGACCGATCTGACATCTTTGTGTTAGGGCTCTCATGGTATTTTTAAGATCTTTGCCAGCTCCAGGGTCACTTGTTAACCCCTGTATCTCTTCCTACCTCCATTGCAGCTTCCTAGGTAGTCTGCAGATACCCTGGTGTTAAATGCATGGACAAATTTAGAGTAATAGTTATTACTTTCCCTTCTCTCACGAACTCCAAAGTTTCAACACCAATCCTAACAAATGACTTTTCCAACAAATAACTAGAAGCTTATACTGGTAGCACATTCCCTGCCCTCTATTGATCTTGACCTCTGAAACATATCACGTTTTCTTTGTCTAACAATACTGCTATTTTCTGGTGCTTCTTTCTTCAGTCGTAGCCCCTCAAAGGGGACTTTATTATTGATTAGCCTGATGAACCTAATCCGTTTCTAATTAATTGAGCTGATATCATTACCTGAAAGACAGGGAAATGGAGGCACAGAGAAATACGTCTTATGGCAGTCTTTTTCATTAGAGGATTAGTAATATATCACTGAATAATGATACTGTTTTATATTTGTACATTTTTCTAAAAGTTTTCATAAATATCAATAAAAGTACTTTGAAATTGTGATATGCAAATGTAAGGCATTTACATTACCTTCCTATAGAATACCATTTAAACTAAATTGAGAAATAGACATTTTATTTAATAAGAAAAAGAACAACTGCAGCTTGCTGCATCCTGGTGGATAAAAATTCTAGGAATAACACCAGGAGAAAAGAGGAGTGTTTTATATAAAGAACCTTCATATTGCTGGACTATAAGGCAAACTTCGCCTTGACCACATTTACATGATTTACTATATTCAGTGACCAGGGCTGATTGGTGAAAGAAGGAAACATCCTGGTCGAGAAGTGAGCAGTAGGATCAGGAGGAATATGTGTGTGCAGTAACATTACTTTAAAGAGATCCTTTTGAATATGACGATAGGAAAAGATAAAATTAGGTACATCTAAAGGTCCTTAAGTGGTAAAGTAGATGGGCAGTATGATTAGCTCTATGAGCTGTAGTATTGGCTTTTACGTTTTTAAAAATGTTGCAGACCTAAGGCAGTCTAGGAAGTAATGGAAGTATATTAGAGAATTTATTTTAAGAATAAGATAACAGAGCTTGACAATTTCATTTGGGCAGAAGAAATATTAATAAGAAACTGGAAAATTGGAGAAAAACTGATGACATCAGAAATGGTAGGACAGCCATGGGCTGTATGGATGATGCTGTCCCACCACAGAGAATTTACTAGCTGTGTGTCTGTGAACAAGTCAGTTAACCTCAGAGCCTCAGTTTTCTCCTCTGTGAAATATAATACTTGCCTCACAGAGGTATGAGGAAAGGGCTTTGTAAATCTTAAGGCACCATATAAATGTGAGTTATTATTCTGCAACAGAGGCAGCATGGATAGAGAACTGGCTGGGAAACCAGATAAACTGGGGTTCCAGTTTCACCTCTGAGAAATCTGGCTATGTGACCCTGGACAAGCACTCTTGGTGCTCTAAGCAATTCTTAAGTAGTGGGGAAGGAGCTGATCTGTAATAGTAGAAGGAGTTTATTCATCCAAGAGTTCCTTACCCTTAGAATCACCAGTCTGGTACCCATATGTATTATTATACAGCTGGGACAGTGCAATTACATTTACTTTGCCATGACATTATGCCTCATTCCTACCTTTCATATTATTGCTTTGAGAATGAACATCCACATTGTTAGCTTTGATCTTTGGCTTTAGCTCAAGCTAAGAAGAAAGATTTTGAGAGGTGAATTCTTCTTAACTTGTATCCTATTCCATTTAAAACTGAACTGGTTACTAACAAAATTCACAGAAAGTAGGCCACCTCTGTTAGATGGGTAAGCCATTTCTGTAATACACTGCTGTGTATTCCTGTGTACTCAATAAGTATTAATTGAATTAAATGACTTGAATTCTCTTCTGAGTTGGTGTGAATTTTAATCAGTGATCTAGAAGTGAGTGCTTAGGTAAAGTACTGTTCTAGGAGAGTACATGTAGTACAACTGTCTGATAAAGTTTCTAATCTGTTTCTCTTGGCAGTCGTTGAAGTATCATTATGCTATTTCTTTGTAGCATGTAGAAAGACACTGTCCTAGTAGCAAGAAATTTTTAGACCCAATATATGTGCTAATAAGGGCTGGCATGGGTAGACATACATAGCACTTGATAAACCATTTTTGTGGCAATTGTTTTTCACCATAAGCTTATGATAATTTGCAAAACTGATCATTTTAAACCTAAATCCATTTGTCAGTTGCACTCCAGGGGTAGATTATAACTATGTTTACATTTATAGATCAAAAACCCCCAAACCCAAATACCTGCAATTAAGTGACAGTAAGAAAATAGCTTTGTGGTTGAGTTGCTGTTTATGTAGTTTCTTTTCTTTTTTTTCTTTTTTGGTAAAAACAATATACATTTATGGCAACTATATATTATCAGTGAGTACTAATTGTTTATGATGTTAATTCTTTTTTCTATTGGTATTACTTTGCAAATTTAATTTAGGATTAAGTATTGGAATTGGTAACTTTAGTTATGGATCTGTGAAAGAAGTAGAGAACTTTGAAGTTTACTATAAATAAGTTAGGGTGCTGTAGTGTGAAGTTCATTTTCAAATAGGAAAAAATGCCCTTCAGATTTTTATAATGAATTTTTCATCACAAAATATTTGTCACCAAATATCATTTTGCATCTGTGTGATATTGTTTGAAGGAGGTGTGTTTCCTTTTTATTTGATGATGATGTTGGCCTTAGAGAAGTTCTCATAAAACACATTAAAAAATTCCAGTTGCTTTATTTCTTTCTTTCTTTTACTCCAGCATAAATGCTAAATGAGAACAGAATTCTCCAAGTAAATTGTGAACTAGCCAGTTAAACTTTTTGTCACCAGGGTTTCTTCTGAAAATATGAAAAAAATTTGAAATAATCTTTTCTAATGTATATGTTTTGTGGCAAACTACCAGTGTTAAATGGATGTTAGCAAAGTGCTTGAGAACCTGGGATAAAAAGCTCCATGTAAGTAACAGCTTTTTCTACTGTTTCAGTTGGTGGTGGTGATTTGGCTTAATTCTAGTCGTCTAATTTGCCAAATGTATTTCCCCACCCCTTAATGCCAAAGCACTTAACAACCTTTGCACATTCAGCTTCTCCACTAATTTGAAGCCAGCTCTGGGATGAAGACTAACAGCCAATGGGCATGTGGCCCACTTTCTTCCGGTGTGAGAGAGGAGTTAGAATTTTGGCAATGCATATCAGGGAAACCCTTATAGAAAGTTCCCAAGGGAATCTCTAATGAATGTATAGAACAGACTTTACTTCGATTTTTGAAATAAATAATAAATTCTTCTTTTAGAGTGAACAAAGAGGAGGAGAAGCTATTGATCTTATTATTCATTTCAACTGTGGTGAAAGTTGCATCTTTTTTTTTGACTGATTCCTTTTCATTCCTGTTAGATTCTCATTTTGACCAGTACAACAGAAGGAAAACCTCATCAACTGCGACTTGTGCTTTCTTTTCCAGGAAAATGCAACATGGCAGCAGCAATGGAAACTGAACAGCTGGGTGTTGAAATCTTTGAAACTGCAGAGTGTGAAGAGAATGTTGACTCACAAGAACAGCCTAAATTGGAGCCATTTTATGTTGAGAGATATTCCTGGAGTCAGCTTAAGAAACTGCTTGCAGATACCAGGAAATACCATGGCTACATGATGGCTAAGGCACCACATGACTTTATGTTTGTAAAGAAGAATGATCCAGAAGGACCTCATTCGGACAGGGTCTATTACCTTGGTGAGTTCAGTTACAGGTTTTGTAATTCAGATATAGAGGACTTTAAGCCGTATTTGTACTTTATGGTTCTCTCGAAAAGGAAAAAAAAAACCTTTTTTTAGATGAGAAGAATTGTAACTTTAGTGGGTTCCCTCCCCTCCCCCTTTTCTCATAGCCCAAATTTTGTTTGGATTCGAAACTTTAAAATTACAAATAGACAAAGATGATCATTTCATATGAAAACTGTCATGTAGTTTTAAAGTAAATGAAATGACCAGAAACTACTTCTTCCCAATGCTAGGCGAGTATTCATTTCCCTGGAGATGAATTGTTAGATTGTTCTCATTCCTTACCGTTAGTTACTAATTTACCTTTTCCTAGTCTGACTCTCTTCTTGGTTTCATCTCCCTAAATTCACAAGAAGAAGACATTAAATTTAAGATCCACCCAGTGTAAACATTCAATTTTCAACTGTTTCTCCAAGAGAAAAGTTATACAGGGAAGCATAGATCATTAAAAGTAACCCTTTCATTAAAGAAAATTTAGTGGCATTTTAATCTTGATATATCTTACTAAGAGATTTAATATCATACCTGTATTTATGTAAACCCCCTTCATTTGAACAACAACGAAAAAGAAACATTTGAAATATACTCAGGTTTTGCCTTTGTATACATAATTTTGCTTTTAAACCTCTTATTAGAAAGCCAGCCCAGGAGTCAAGAAGAACTAGGATCAGGTCCTGTCTCTAACATACATGGCCATTTAACTCTGGATGAGTCATTTAACCTCTCAGTTCCCCAGACAACTTTCTGTAGACTGTAAGTTGCAGAATAGTTACCAGTCTGTATTGTGTTCCCAACACAATGAAATCACAGTAGAAAAAATTAGTCATCTCTGGCCCCACAAGTAGCATAGGACAGAGCCAGGTTCTTTGACCTATTCCAGTACTCATTCCGCTATACCATGCCGCAACCTAATTCATTATTCTTGAAATTAGTGCCTAGCTCCATGGTCAGAGTTGTCCCCTCTCTGTAGTCTTTGCTCACTGAGTAGGAAGAAGAGTTCAGGCAAACAGATTTTCTGAACCTTTGATGGATTGGGTCAAAAGGCATCATGGAAAATTGAATTTTGAGCAGGTTTATAATTAAATTATGAAAGACTAGGTGAGATATATGTATATATATGCATACACACACACATATATATACACACATATGTGTATATATATATGTATACATATATGTGAAGTGATTCAAAAAAGTGTCCTCATTTGGCAAAATAATGAATGATTAAAAGTTTTCCAAAATAGACAAGAATATCAAGGAACCTTGAACTTCCAGACTTTAAAGCATATTACAAAGTGATTCTCATAAAAATATCTCATTCTGTGCAGAGAGAGAGAGACACACATATATCACTGGAACACAGTAGAGATCCCAGACATTGAACCAAATATATACAAAAGATTAGTATTTGATAAACCCAGGGAAATACAAATTGAGATAATCCCTATTTAATACATATATTGGTAAAACTGTTACAGAGGGAATAGATTTAAACAAATTTCTTTTTTTCCTGAATTTGTTTATTGTGAATTCAACAAATGTCAAACAAGAACATTTCCATATACAAAGAGAATTTTTAAAAGTTTGTATTTGAAACTATAATTCTTAATTATATATAGCTTGTTTTTAAAGTGTGTATTAAATTTAACAAAGTAGTATGTTGTCATATTTTTCTCTAATGCCTACAGAATTTCCTTCTGCTTGTTAATATATATTTTTAAGGGTTTCATTAATACCATTTTCTTTATTCTCTCTCTCTCTTTTTCTTTTTTGCATCTCTCACTTCTCCCTGATTCCCTTCAATAACTACCCCCTTCCCTTATCTCCCACAATAAATGCCCTCTCTTGTAATAAATTAGAATAATCAAGCCAACCAGATTCACACATTGGTCATGTCTGGAAATATGTCTCATTTTGTACCTACAGTCCATCACCTCCCTGCCGAGAGATGGGAAATGTGATGCTTCATCATTTATGTCTTTTGAAGGCATGTGTAGTCTTCACTTTGATCATAGTTCTGAAGTTTTCTTAAGTTGTTTTACAAGAAGCAATATAATAGAAAAATAATAGATTGGTGAAAATATTTATGATGAATGTAACTGATTAAAATTTGACATCTAAGTTTTCTAGGGAACTGCTAAAAATATCCAAAGACATTCAGCTCCCAAGACAAAAATGATCATATGGTAAAGACAATTTAGAAAAGAGAGAACTCGGATTGCTAATTATCACTTGAAAAAAATGCTCAACCTTACTAATAATAAAAGAGTTTCAGGTTAAAACAACTTTGAAGTACCAACTCACTTCCACCAAATTGGAAGGAAGGATATAAGCATTTATTAAGCTCTTCTATGTGCCATCTTCTTTTGTTGGCACTTGTTAGGCACTCCCTTAAAAAGTACTAGCAAGAGATTGTATACATGTTATAGACAGCTGCCATTTTTAGTGATTGTTTCCATGTAGAAATAAACTTTATTGTTGCCTTTTTTATAGTTTCTCCATTTGCAGGAAGAAGACTGTTTAATGAGAAATTGCTTTTTTTTTTCTTATAGCCATGTCTGGTGAGAACAGAGAAAATACACTGTTTTACTCAGAAATTCCCAAAACCATCAACAAAGCAGCAGTTTTAATGTTGTCTTGGAAGCCACTCTTAGATCTTTTTCAGGTAGGAATTTTAAAGTGTCTTTGATATGTGATGTTTATATCTCTTCACATACAGTGAATAAATTGTTTTAGATCGAGGGTTCTTAACTTAGTTTCCATGAACTTGGTTTTGTTGGGTTTTAATATTTTAATAACTGTATGTTAACATAATTGGTTTCCTTTGTAATGTTACATATTTTGTTTTAAAATTTATTCATCATTTAAAAGCACTATTCTAAGGGCTCCATCGGCTTCACCAGACTATCAAAGGTGTCCATAACACACAAAAAAGTTAAGAACCCCTGATTTAAATATTGAAATTATAAAATTCCTTTGTTTGCAACAGATTATAAGGGTTTTAAAGTTTTCATAGTTTCATGTGGCTGGTCTTTTCATTCCTGTCAAATGTAATTATAGAAAAAATTTTTTAATTAATGAGCATTTTATACTATGAAGTGACTTTTCTTCTTAATGCCTCATTTTTTCCTAAAAATTTTCAGTCATATAGTGCTCAATAATCTTTATAGATTACGTCAAAGTTTTTAAAGGTCTTCCTTTGTAGACATGCTGTTTTTTTACACCTTAATTACACTGTATTTCTTCCTCAAAACTTGGTATTCTTAGTGATATTAGTGCCATTTTTACTTCTAACTAGTATTGTGTACCTTTAAATTTCTGCAAAATTGAAAGCATTGTTTGTCTTGGAAGGAGCAGGGGCAGGGAGACAGTGGGTTGTAATTGGGTTGTAATAGATAAAGAACTAATAGCTGCTTCAGAGTCGCGGGTTAAAGTCCTGACTCTGACACATGCTAGCTTTGAGGCTCTGGGAAAGTCACTTAATATTTCAGTGTTCCCAGCAACTCCCCAGTAATATAATTGCAGGAGAAGCTGGTGATCTGTGTTAGTGGAGGGAATTTCCTCATTGAGAGTGTCCCATACTAATAAAATCACAGGTCTAGACATACCCTTTCCCCCAATTATTTTTATACATATACACACATACTTGAGAATGTCTGAAGGATAATATTCTGTGTGTGTGCCTGTCTTTAAGCATGCAACCATCTCTTTAAAGTTCTCATTTCTTCTCTCCTTCTCCTAAAGTAAGTTGTTATATGAGTAGAAGGGAAAGCAAAAGTAACACAAACAAGGAAAGACCCTACCTATCATTATATGTCAGGTACTTAGTGTTGAGAATTAGCTAAAATATAGTGATGTTTTGAAAAACTCATTTAAAATTTATTAATTAGTCTGCTTGTATTCTTCTATTATTAAGCCTAGTTTTTTGCTTTCACTGTAGCTGACAGTGAATGTCAGTAAATGATTAATGATTATATGTTTGAATTTCCTATCTCTGAAAGTGTTCTTTCCCCCTTACATTTTCCTAGAACACAGTGTCCTTTACTCCCACCATGTTTTACTTTGTGTATATGTATAATTGACTTGGTACATGTGATTTTCTTCCAAGTAGCATGTAAGTTCCTTAAGGACAAAAGACTTATTTTTTCATCTTTGTATCCCTAGTGCCCAGCACAGTGCCTTTCCTACATGTAGTAGGTGTTGAATAAACACCTGCTGAATTTAATTTTTTGAAGATAATAGACTTAGTTTATTTTTATATCATGTTTAACCATTTTTTCTTGGCAGTGTGGCTTATTCTTTTACATAAATGAATGCATGTTTTTAAAAATAATAGAAGAACTTGGATCATTCTTGCATATAGTAATTAACAAACTAAGTAAGAATTCTAGGTATAATTTTTGTTGTATAGATAGTTATTATTAGCTTTAAAAAAACTTTTGGTTATAAATTTAGGTGTGTAAATATTAACTGTTCAGAGATTTATAAAGTGGCTACTATGTATAGGCTATTTGCCAAGCACTAGAAATATAAAGAGGATAAAAGATACAGTTTCTGAATTCAAGGAGTTAACAATCCAGTATCAAGAAAATTCAAGAGGTTTACAGTTCACACAAATGATCACATGTTTCCTAGTCAGTTTATTGATTACAAAGAAGTTGGTATGACAGCAAAAGATAAGTCTAAGAGTAAAAGCGTAAAGGAACCTCTTTAAATGAACTTTGTTAGCCCCTTCTTCCTTAACATAATATCAGGTTGGAGTTGGTTTTTTAAAATATTAATCCCTTGTATCCAGCATATGGTGGATATTCAATAAACAATTTACTGGGAAAATGTGCATATTTTAAAATTAGCATTAATGCCTTAATGAATTTTTTTTACCCTATTTTATACATGTACCTGTGAGGAACATACATGCCAAAATATTTCTGAGTATAGTTAAAAACCTTCCATATCTTCATCATTATTAGCACATTTATTGAGTGACTAGTTTGTACAAGATATTGCATTAAATTCTGGGGCAGATACAAAAATAAAATTTAATCTTTACTACAAGGAGCTTACGTTGGAATAGAGAACATAAAATATATATGTATGTACATATATGTATAAAAAACTGCACAGTGGTATGGTTAGTGCTAAATCATATAGACAACAAACACTACAGGAGTTAGTTCATGTAAGAAAGGTAACACTTTGAGCTAGAGGGATAAGAGAAATTTTCATGGAAAAGTACAGACTTGAACTGAGCCTTAAGTGATGGGTAGGACTTGGCTGGAAAAGAAGAAGAGCATTTCTGGTGGGCACAGTGGTGAAGGCAAAGACCTCAAGGTAGAAAGGAATAGGTAATATGAAAGGATAGTAAGATTAATTTGGGTGGAACAGAGTATTTCTTTTAAGGGAAGATGAGATAATAAGGTTTGGATTAGTAGGTTGCGACTCAATTGTAGAAGAGACTGAATGCCAGGCTAAGGAATTTGGACTTTTCTTTGCTCTCTTACACACATGTAACTGCCAAATGAGGAAATATCCTTTAGTACATATCTATTTAAGAGAGATCTTGGTAAAAGATGATGCTAAGATAGGAATCTATGTGTGTAGAGGCACTCAGATTTGTTCCTCACAAGTAAGAAATTTGGAGGTGCTAAGACATCTTTATTTTTGAAATCCACATTGATATAAGCATCAGGAAGAAAATTTAAAAGTAGGTAGTACTCCTATTTTTTTTTTCATTAGGCAACCCTGGACTATGGAATGTATTCTCGAGAAGAAGAGTTATTAAGAGAAAGAAAACGTATTGGAACAATTGGAATTGCTTCTTATGATTATCACCAGGAAAGTGGAACATTTTTGTTCCAAGCTGGTAGCGGAATTTACCATGTAAAAGATGGAGGCCCACATGGATTTACTGTAAGTTTAAATGTGCTGATTATTAAAGCTTTGGGTTTTGTGGTTGTTGTTTTAAGCTCTGAGAGAATTAAGAAAGAAGTTTCCTTATTAATTCCTTTTTTATTATTTTTCTGAAATGTAATGAAATTTAATTTTTTAAAAACCCTCTTCTGCCTGGCCAACAAGAAATTCAGATTCTTAAATACTTCAGTGGAGTACTTAAGTACTTCATTGACTTCAAATCAATTAAAATAAACAAGAGGAAGAATATTGGTATTTTGTTTTTCAAGTTTATGAGTTAACATAAGAAATCTTTCCTGCAAAAAATATAGTTATTCTGTTAAAAAAAACCACATTTGTTATCTCTCCTGTACAATATGTTTATTTGAGGTACTCAGGGAAATACAAAAACAAATAAAACATAAAAGAGCTACAACCTGCTGGAAGAGATAAGAGATGTATATAGGAAAATAGAATACAAACTAGAATATGAGTGCATATAAGAGTAGTTAGAAAGCTTTGAAATCAGTTCCATTTATTAAGCATCTAGAACAGGCAGGACGCCATGTTAGTTGCTAGGGATACAAAGTAAGTAAAACTTTTTGCTGGAGGAATACAACATGTACTTGGATAGGTAAATACAAGTTAATTTGAAAAGGGAAGAACATTAACAACTGAGGAAATGAAGAAAGGAGGTAACATTTGTGCATGTTGCTATGTTGATTTGGCTAAAATTTTAATTTTACATATTTTTCATAACTAAATAGTTTAAATGTATACTTTCTCTCACTATAGTATCTAACTTTTAGATGTATAATATTGATCTTTAAAAATGAAAATTCTTTCTATACTGTGAAAAATATATGTATTGTCATATTAAATAAAAAGGAAGCATTTTAAAATCTGATTAATTATTTAAACATCAATAGTCAGTTTTCCTTGAAAAAAATCTTACCTTCTCTTGACCCCCTTCTTATCTTTCTACCTAATCTCCCCTAGCAATTTTCCTCGCTTCCATCGTTTCAGCTATTATCTATAAACAAATCATTCCAAAATTTATATCTCCAATGCTGACCTTTCTTCCAAGCTCAGACCTATCAGCTAATTGCCTTTGTCTCTGTATCCCTAGCACAGGGATTGACACATAGTAGGCACTTAACAAATGCTTGTTGATTATCTACCAAACATCATTCAGTCCCTGGGGAGCTGTTGGAGGTTTTTGAAAGTTGAGGTGCCATAATCAGACCTGTATACCAGAAAGACTGGTGTGGTAATAATAGGTAGGATGGATTAGAGGGAAAAGAGATTTGAGATGTGGAGACCATTTAGTTTTCCATTGCAGTAATCCAGGCATGGGGGAAAAGGGATGAATGTGAAGGAGATTGCAGAGATAGAATTACGGAGCTTGGCTGCTGGTTTGAAATAAAGAGAAAAGGGAGGATCAAAAGCTAAATCTAAGAAAAAATGCTAACCACCTCTAGAGAAAAAACTGTTGGAGTCTGAATGCAGAGCAAAGAATAATTTTTTTTACTTTAATTATTTTTCTTAGGTTTTTTTTTTGTCTGTGTTTTCTTTTATAACATGGCTAATATGGAAATGTGTTTAGCATGACTACACATGTGTAATCTATATCAAATTTCTTGCCTTCTCAAGGAGGAAGGAGAGGAGGGAGGACAGAAGAGAATTTGGAACTCAAAATTTAAAAAAATGAATGTCAAAAATTATTTTTACATGTAATTGGGAAAAATATTTAATTTTTAAAAATAAATCTGAAATTGTAAAACATGGGCATACCTCAGACTTTACAGTTTCATGGAAATGCACCACAGGACTGTTTTGAGGAAATCAAATACTTTGCAAACTTTAAAATGTTAAACATACATAAGTTATCTTAAAATTCTACTGTCTTTTCAGAATCTCCTATCCCTTTACATGTCATTCTTTATTATACATACTAAATCCTCTTTTTTCCTCTATTATAAATTTATGGTATATAACCTTAGCTAGGCCTTCACTGATACTCAGTAACACAGTCTGCTCATCAGTTCCCTATATTATTGTTTCTGGCCTTTTCCTTTCTCTTCCCAGTTGTAACTCCTTCCTCCCCCCAGTTAGTGTGGATGACTTAGCTTCTTCATTGAGAAAACTGAGGCCATCCAGAAGGAGTGCCTTCAACTCTTCTTCCTTACCCAAAACTTACCAACAGCATCATCTTCATCACCTAAGGTATCCTTCCTTCTGATCACATAAATTATCCCCTTAATCCCATCTCCTCCCACTTCTTTTTAGGACCTTACTCCAGTAACCATTGCCCTTCCAATGATTCCTTCCTAAATATCTACAACTGTGCTCAAATCTGGCCAGTCAAAAAACAAAAAGATAAAAAACTTTTCTTGATTCTTTTAAACTATCTTGATGGCACAGTTGATAGATTACTGGACTTATAGTCAGGAAGATCCCAGTTCACATCTGGCTTCGGACTAGTGCTATGACTTTGGACAAGTCACTTAACCTCTGTCTTCCTCAGTTTCCTCAACTGTAAAATAGAGATAATAACAGCACCTAAATTCCCTGGGTTGTTACGAGGATAAAATGAGGTATTTGTAAAGTGTTTTGCAAACCTTAAAGCACTATATAAATGCCAGCTATTATTACATTACAGTTATGGTCCCATTTCTCTCTTTCCCAGTATTGCCAAATTTTTGAAAAAATAATTTGAAAAAAAATAATCTCTTTGATATCTCTATATTCTTAACACCTATTCTCTCTTCAGCCTGTTATAATCTGGCTACTTCCCTTCCCACTGTACTTGAACTGCCCTCTTAAAGGGCATTTTGCCAGATCCAGCACAATTTCAGACTAGTAGCAGAATTTATCACGTAAAAGACCAAGGGATCTTTATTCATTTTCTTCTTCCTTGGCAACTCTATGACATTTGAGACTGCATTTTGATGCTTTGTCCTCCCTTGACTTCAGAGATGCCACATTCTCTTGATTCTCCTGAATTCTCTCTGAATTCCTTCACTGGCTCATCTTCCCTATCCCTTAATGTAGATAGATGTTCTTTCCCCCAAGGTTCTTTCTATAGACTTTCACTTCTCTCTATATACATTCTTGCCAGTGTCGTTTCCTCCAACTTTAACTACCATCACTATCCAGGTAACACATATATTTTTAGCTCTGAACTCCAGACCTAAATTTGCAGCTGCATATGGGACTCCTCTGACTATCCCACTAGCACTTCAAATTCAGCATATCCAAAATTGAGTTTTTTCTTTTTTCTAAAATGTAATTTTTCATCTGACTTCACTATTTTTCTATGTGACTCCAGAATTCATTCAGTCTTCTAATAGGTTTTTCTACCTCCATCATTTCTGCCATGCAGTCATTCCTTCATGATGCTTTTAGCCATATGATTTACTTTTGTGTATATCTGGTCATGCCCGTCCTCTGCTCGGAAATTTTAAATGGCTCTTCATTATGTGTGAGGGAAGTTCAAGTTCTTTTGCCTGGCATTTAAGGCATTTCACAGTTTGGTTCCACTCTTGGTTTCCAGCTTTATTTCATATTATTATATTATCCTCTAACCAAACTGAAGTAGTCTTGGTCTCCTGAAGATATTTTCTTGTTTTCTGCCTCCAGTTCTCACACTATTCTTTAAGCTGATCTCATCTTCAACTGTTGAATTTTTGTCCGCTCCTTAAAGCCTGCTTCAAATGCCCCCACCCTCCAGGAAGCCTTCCCTGATTTTCCCTTTGGTAATAACCCTTGATTCACATAGTACTTGTTTTATTTTCTTAACCTCTCTGATATACTTAAAATGTATTATTTTGTGCTGTAGTTATATCTGTATATTTTGTATCTCCTTTTTAAACTGTTAGCTTCATAAGGGTAGAGGCTTATCTAAACTTATGTAGCTTCTCTTTTCCTTCAGTTTCTTATACTTAGAATAGCGTTCTGCACATGCTTAAGAAAAGGTTTGTTGAGTTAAGTTTTAGAGGTTGGGTAGAGGAACAAATTTTGGGGTTCTGAATGAGTTCTGTTTTATATGTTTAATAGATAAATTTCAAGTGGTTTTTGAAAGATCCTGGTTTAGTCAAAATTAGAAGTACTTATCTTTCAAACTTCTTGAAGTCTTTATTATTCTTATCAAGTTATTATATCAGTGTAATCATTTTATTTAGTGATAGGGTTGATTCTTTTTATGTAATTGTACAGTTAATCTATTTTAATGAATTTGCAGGAATTCTATTTTAGTTATGTATTAGTGAACAAACATTTTTTGGTTGAATTTACTTTTTAATGTTGAATAAAAACTAATTAATGACTAGTCAAGTATACTTCATATGTAGCTTTACAATTTACTTCATGTATCATTTTACTCTACGATAACAGAATTTATAGTATAGTATTGGTCTAAGAAGTCTTTCCTGTTTGTCGAAATGAAAACTAAAGGTTCTATCAATACCTCTAGCTCTCTAGCTCAACAACCAGTTTTTTTTCCTTGCAAGTTCAGGAAATAAAACAAGAGAATACAGTAGGAGTCTATTTATCTGAGTTATCCCACTTAACATTTTAGATAGAGATAGCTTTCATCTTATGCTTAGGGTCGAACCAAATGAAATGTCTATATATTGGCCTGCCTCTTTCCCACAAAGATTTAAGAATATCTTATGTTTGCTTTTCTAGCAACAACCCTTAAGACCCAATTTAGTGGAGACCAGTTGCCCCAACATAAGGATGGATCCAAAACTGTGCCCTGCTGATCCAAACTGGATTGCTTTCATCCATAGCAATGACATCTGGATAGCGAACATTGTAACTAGGGAAGAAAGGAGGCTCACCTATGTGCACAATGGTAATGCGCATCTAGTAGACTACATTGTTGGGAAGTATTTTAAAAATCCAGTTTGTTTTTATATTTTGAAGTGGGAATATCCTTATATATGAAGGAAAGCTGGGTGGTACCATTGTATAATAATGTTCATTATCACCTTTTCATGCATTCAGTAACAGCTCTGATAAGACTAGGCATTCAGCCTGGCAAGGAACTGCCAAAATTGCTACAATACAAATTTCATTAAAATAATCATTAAAGTGACAAATTTTATTAAAGTAACAAATTCACTTTTTATATTTCTTTTACTTGCCCTTTAGAAATTAATTTTTAAAAAACTTACATTTCTAGATTCTGATAATTTATATCTCATTTTGAGAAAAAACTGTTTTTGTTTTGAATATTTTAAAATGTTTATAGAAGGAAAATATACCTTTTGTTTTTAAAACTGAGAGCATTATGGAAGTACTTAATAAACATAAAATTATTGCACATTAAGAACCTTCAGAATATTATTCACTACATCAGATATTCTCTGGAGAATTTAATACAAGTGAAAGAAGATGAAAGTAATATTTCCCTTTTTGTAATTATAACATTCTAAACAATAATCAACAAAAACATTCAAATAAGCAAAAAAATTTAAATGATAGTCAAAATCCAAATTCCCTATTTTTTCATAAAATTTAATTTTTATATTTTGCTTTTGAAAACTGTAGATTAGCTTCCAGGAAGTAATATCAAAAATTTCCAGCTTGCTTCCATATCTTCTTCTGATTACTTTTGTTTCTATTTTTAATTATTTTGTTGCTGCTATTATCTGTACGTAGTTGTAATTAGTTTATGTATTTTTCTGATTCTTCATTCTTCACTTTGCATGATTTCATATTAGTCTTTCCATATTTCTTTTTATTCTTCTTGGTCATTTTTATGGTCCAATAATATTCCATTAAATTTATATTCTATACTTTATTCATCTATTCCTCAGTCATTGGACATGTGGGCTATTTCCAATTTTTGTTAAAATAAGTAAAATTACTGTTTTTGGACTGAGAGGATCTTCCCCTCTTTTTTCTTTAAGGTGAATTCCTAGTAGTAGTGAAATCAGTGGGCCAAAGGATGTGCTCGTTTTTGTAATTCTTTTGAATATTTCCATGTTGTTTTAGAAAAATATTACATCAGCAGTGTAACAATGTTCTTGTTTCTCCACATCTTTGCCAATCTTGAAGTTTATCATTTTAAGTAATTTTTGCCAATTTAGTAGTTATTAGGTTGTAGCTCAGAGTTTTAATTTATATTTCACTAAGCTTAACAATTTGTAAGAGGTTGTTGACAATTTCATTGAATTGAATTTGTATATTCTTCCATGAAGAACTATCTATTAATATCTTTGACCATTTATCCATTAAGGAGTGGACTCTACTTGTATAAAATTTTTATCTATGTTATAAAGATTTTAGATGGCAAATTTTTATCAGATACATTTTCTGCAAACAATTTTTCTTCATTCTGTTTATTTTGTTTTTATTTCGGATGTATTAGTTTTGTTGTACATTTTTATACAATTAAATCTATCCATTTATCTCATAATTTGTTCTCTTCAGTAGATAAGAATTTTTTCCTCTCCCTAATTGCAATAAATATATCATTCCATTTTCTTCTTTTTGATTTTAAAATATTTACATTTGAATGATTTGTTTCACCATTTCCCCCACCCCCAAATAGATTACTCAAGGCCAAGCCACATAGTGAAGAAAATAAAAATTTATGGGTTTTTTTTGTTCTCTTGGCTTTTTGTTCTTAAGACTAAGTTTTTAATGAGTATTTGCTTTGATTTGGGTGACGGGGTTGGTGTGGACCTGTGATTTCATTAGTGTAGGGTACTCCTGGTGTGGGAACTCCCTGCACCAATGCAGGTTGGCAATTTGTGTGCAATTTACAGTCTTAGAGAATTGCCTGGGTCCCTGACAGGGTTAAGTGACTTGCCCAGAGTCAGTGCAGCCAGAGTGTATTGGGAGCATAGCTTGAACCCAAGTCTTCCTAACTGCCTGGAGAGCAGTTTATTCACTGGGTAATAATGTTGTCTTTCTGCTTTGCATAAGAGATTCTAATGAATAATATTGTAATAAATGTCAAAAGCCTGACATATGCTATGGAATCAGCCTCAGCACATGTCTCTTCAAGAGTCAAGACCTCTCTGATCAAAGTAGAAAGCTTTTTTATTTAAACAGTTAGCTTTAAGAATAGAAACACCGTTCAACTAAGTCAAGAAACATGGATTCTAATCCCAATTCTATCATTTTCTGTGTGATCTTAGATAAGGTACTAAACTTCTTATTGTTTCCTTATCTGTCAAATAAGAATAATGTCTTCCTTACCTACTTCATAGGAATATTGCGATGATCAGAGGTGATAAAATAATTAAAAACTTTTTAAAAAGAAAAATCTTAAAATCCTATACAAGTACAAGGTATTATTATGTTTCTTCAGTTTTTAAATTGTTCATTCTTCACTATGGACATAGATCTTTAGCTATGATTTAGATAGTAATATATTTTTGAAGTATTGTTGAATATTAATAGATACTATTAATATATTACTAGTAATTACGTTATTATCATTTGTCATAATATTTTGCTTTGGGAATGTATTTTATCACCCTAACTTAGTTCATCAGGATTTGTTTTCTAGTCAGCATATTTCTATGTGCCTAGTTCTGTAGGAGATCCCAGAGAAGTACAAGTCACCATTCCTGTCTTTCATAGTCTATCATCTTATTGAGGAGAAAAGACTAAGACACAAAACAGTTTCTAGAACAGTTATAACTCTGGAGAAACAAGTTGGTGTAGTAGAAAATTCACTGAACTAGAAATCAGAACTAGGTTATAGTCCAATGGAGCCAATTTGTGTGACCATGGGCAAGTCACTTATCCTCACTCTAACCTCAGTTTGCTCATTTTTAAATTAGAATTGAAATATGTCATGCCTATCATACAGTGTTATTGTTATGTTCTCATTACCAGACTTGAAGTCACTTTGAGAAGTGTAAAGTGCTGTGCATGTACAAGTGTTTATCACATAAAGTGCTACATTATATGGGTCAGGCTCTTAATTGCTATAGGAGTTTTAAAAAGGTAGAGATCAGTATAAGCTGGAGTGGGGGGAAAGGGCTATATGAAGGAGGTAGGACTTGAGAAATGTTTAAGATTTAGATAAAGTAAGAGAGATGAAGGTATTCCAGGCAGAAAGGGCAGCATGAGTAAAAATATGGAAGTGGGAGTAAATATGGTATACAGTGAGGAAACTGCTCTGATTGGACAAGACTTCATATTGAGAAAGAATAGAAAAATTAGGAGACCAAAAACTTCAATCTCTGTGGAATGGATGACTAATCCAGATTTGATATAAAGTCTTGGATAGAGTAGTGACAAGAGAAATGAGATATATTTATTTATGAGAGTGAATTGGTAGTTCTTGGTTTTGAATAACAAGGGATGAGACCGGTGGTTGAGAAAGTGATTAAGTGATTACCAGTCCATGAGAAAAGAGTGAGAAAAAGAATGAGACAGGAATAAATATGGCCAAAAAGAGGTATTTGAGTGTTTTGATTCTCTTCTCTTCTTGCCCAAGGTAGATGAAGTAATAGAATAATTTGAGGAAGTTGAAATTCTTTTTGGATGTGCTCAGTAAATATTAATTTATGTGGCTGCTGTTGCTATGGTAATAAATTAGAGTGGTCTAGTGGGGAGCCTTGGACTAGTTCATTTACGCTTTGAAGACATTGGTTTGCCTGCAATAGGCATTCTGATTTTGACCTCTCTGATGGTTCCAAGGAAAAATTGATTTTACCATTAAAGACTTCTTGCATTTGTTTAGTGTATCATTTATAGGTTATTAGATACTTAGTTACAATTCTAACAATCAGATTTTACTCAGTTTCTCTGTGAATAACATTTGTTGAACATTTACAATTTAAAGAACCTTGACCTAGGTGTTGTGGAAGGATACAAAGAAATTGTAAAGCATATTCTCTTCCCTTAGAGAATTTACTTTCCACTCAAGGAGGCAGACATAAACGCGAAATCAATAAGCATTTATTAAGGCACCTATTTGTGCCAAGTACTATGGATATACCTAAAGACAAAAATATGAAACAAATCTTCCCAATCTCAGGCTTACATTCTGTTGGAGCTGGGAGCAGGGGGAGGAGAGGAAAACACATACAAGTATATACAGAGTAAATACATGCAGACTGAACAAAGGCAGTTAAACATAAGATAGTGAGGGATGGAACTAATAGCATAGGATGTTAGTAAACAAATCCTGTTCAAAGGTAATACTCTGTTTCTTAAAAACCATTAGGTATTCTATGGGGTAAAGGTGAATAGGGAATGTGTCCTAGGCATGGGAATGGCCAGTGTAAGAATGAGAGCTGGAGTGTAATGCTGGAAGAACCAAGTACGGTTTGACTCAACAGAGTATGAGAAAAGACGAATAGTGTATATAATGACATGATATACTATGTATACTATATACACACTTCTGAAACTTAGTGACTGTGAGCTCAGGCAAGTCTTTTAACCTCTCTGAGCCTCAATTTTCTCAATGTCAAATGTAGATACTTTTATTATCTGCTACATAGGGTTGTTACAAGGAAAGTGCCCTTAAAAACTTGAAAGTGCTTTGTAAATCTCAGTTGAAGGTGACAATTATTATTTCTGTGTATACTAGTTCATCATAAATGTTATCTGTGCTGTTCTTATGTAAATCTTAGTTTAAAAAATGCAAAATGAAATAGTCATACTGCTTTCTGGCTTTAGACATTTGAGGCTGTTTGTGTTGATGATGCCTTTTATGTTTATTCAGAGCTTGCTAACATGGAAGAGGACCCAAGATCTGCTGGGGTCGCAACCTTTGTCCTTCAGGAAGAATTTGATAGATATTCTGGTTATTGGTGGTGTCCAGAGGCTGAACCAAGTAAGTGTATTAAATCTAGCCCAGAAAAATGATTTTAAGACTCATCTACTACAGTGCTATTCAGTACTATGCCCAGATTCTAAATCTTAGATAGTGATAGTAAAGATTTCAGAGTGATAAAAATCAGGACTAGCCTTCTCTAGGCAAAATGTTGATTAGATGAAATAGAACAAATTCCATTGCGCTAAACCTTAAGTCATTGTTTTCCAATCATTGCATTCAGGCAATTTCATGTCATGTGAAAACATTTTTTATCACATCTCATTGTCATGGGTTTCCTTATGACACCTTGCTAGTTTTCATATAGAAGGTAGTAGTAACCATAATAGAGAAAAGAGGTTGACATATATATACATCCACACACATATATGCAAATATGTAGAAATGATTTTGAGGTAAAGGGTGAGGTTGGATTGGTCTGAGTTAAATGGGAGCGGAGAAAGGTCTTCTTTCCCATGTGTCCTAGGGAATTCACAAGTGTATAGCTGACTTTAAAAGGTTGGACAATACTACTTTAATGGACTGTGCTTCTCTTGTTGTACTAGAATCTTGTTTTATAAAATATTGCTTGAGATAAGTAAGTCATTAGCTGGGGTTTGGCAGTCTTTTTTTCTTGAAGAGATTATTCAAAGATTCTCAGAGTTTGAAGGGATCTTAGAGGTCATCTAGTCCAATCTATGCATAAACAGCAATCCTCTCTACAACATCCCTAAGAAGGGGTCAGCCAGTCTGTGCTTGAAGATTCCCAGTGAAGAGGAACCTGCCACTTCCTCCCTCCACATCCACTGTACTTTGGGACAGCTCAAATCGTAAAGAAGTTTTTCCTTACAATGAGCCAAAATTTGTTTCTTTGCAATTTCTATCTATTGCTCCTAATTCTGCCCTGTGAGACTAGTTAGCACATGTCTAACATCTCTTCCATGTGACAGTCTTTCATAATTTTGAAGATCATTCTTATGACCCTCTAAGTAGTCTTCTAGATCTAAACACCTCCATTTGCTTCAGCTGATCCTTACATAGTATTATCACCATTCATCACTCCATGCTAATCATCTTCTTCTGAATATACTATACCTTATCAGTATCCTTCCTCAAATCTTGCACTCAGAACTGAATGCAATACTTGAGAGATTCTTTAACCTAGCCAGAGTACAGTGGGACTATTGCCTACCTCATTCTGGACACTGTGCCTTTATTAATGAAGTCTCAGATCACTTTTGTATTTTTTTTTTTTGGTTGACATGCCACTGTTAGCTCATATTAAGCTAGCATTCCACTTGTAATTACATTTGTTATGGGATTTGACATTCATGAAAAAATTTGAAAGCCACATAACATTTTAAGTATCTTTAACACTTTATTTTTTAACAGAGTATATAAGTATTTCAACAGTGTATAAGAAAACCCAGCCCTAAGTACAGCAGAAATGTTTATTCTTTGTTTACCTTGAAAATTGTACATAGTGAAATTATTTAAACTTGCTTAGAACAAACTCATACCACTATAGCAAAAATCATTACATTTATCATATTGATAGCATATCAGTAGTGACAACTTCATATATAAAAATATTTTTACTAGTTGTATAATATTAATACTAGGAGAATTTTTTTTGTTTTTTTAAATTATTCTGAATACAAAAGTAACAAATTGCTTTTCAGCTCCCAGTGGAGGAAAAGTTCTTCGAATTCTATATGAAGAAAATGATGAATCAGAAGTGGAAATTATTCATGTTACATCCCCAATGTTAGAGACCAGGAGGACAGATTCTTTCAGATATCCCAAAACAGGTAAGCCTCTTGCTGGCATTTATTTTCATATAATTTCCCCTCCTCTATCAGCTGTTCTAATTATCTGAACCTTCAATGCTTATCTTTTATTACCAAGTCTTTAGCAAAGATAGGTTTAGTTTACATTAGTAAATTTAGTACATGTTGAACTCATGGATAATTTTAAATTCTCTTCCATTATTTTCACCTATAACACTATGTTATCATACTGGTTGCTTTATTTCACATGCAATGATGGGTTAGCTATTATCAGGAGTTGGGAAGTGGAATACTTGCCTGTATTGTCAAGAAAACTTTTCATAGAAGCTTACCAACATGACCCTTGGCAAGTCACTTGTTTGTCTTTTTCCATATCTGTAAAATGGGATTGTTGAGGGTAAAATGAAATAATATTTGTGAAGCACTTGTAGACTTAAAAGTGCTGTATAAATGCTAGATATTATTATTATTATTATCATACATTTGATCTGTTGTTTTACTTTTATATTGTTTTCAAGGTTTTCATTATAAAAATGGATACACATTTGCTAGCCCCTTCTTTTTGCAGCCTTCAGAGTACTAATGTATGATGATGTTTTGCCCCAGAAAAGACCTCTGATATATAATAGTGCCATTTTTTATCAATATTCATTGATAGCATTGACTTCACTAAAATGTAGAGTGCATTGAACTGGTACACGTCTAGTTTGGGAAATATTGGTTATGTATGAATTTGGATGCAACTCATTTTTAATGTCTTCTTGAAGGCACAGCAAATCCAAAAGTCACTTTTAAGATGTCAGAAGTAATGATTGATGCTGAAGGAAGGGTAAGTATTAAATTATAAGTTTATTATCTAAATTCATTTGACATTTAATTGAATCCTGTTGTGTTGGAATCACACAGGGAGACAAGTGTACTATGAAATAGCATAATGTTTATTTAAGAGGGAAAAATAGCAGTTTTCCCAGAGTATATGCATATAGGCAATCAGCTTTGGGATTCCAATGAGGGACTACAACTCTATTCCTCTTATGCAATTTCAAAAAGACTAAATACTTATACTGTTCTAGAAATAATGATTCTAAAAATAATCATTACATTATGTTTCTTGTAATAAAAATAGCTAGCCATTAGTTTGTCTTTTTGTGATTTCTGTTCTTGGACAACAGGACATGAGTGGGACGTTTGATGTTAGCGATGTTTCAGCAACTTGGCATTGATACATATAGTAATACTTGGTCAAAACTTAGCAGTTTTTCTTGAATAGTTTCTAAAAAATATTCTGTAGTCTTTTAGGTGTAATTCTTGTGATTCCTTATAACCCTTACACTAAATAACATTATAGGTTAATTTATTAGGCCTGTTGAACAAATCTGTGGACTTTTTGAAGAACAGGTTATTGTTTCATACTGATTTAATTTCCTGTTTTTCAAAGTACAGGCAATTTTCATCTTTACAGTGTGAGGATGTATAGAGAGAAATTATCATCACCTGTCATTACTGCTCTGCCTTAGTTTTTTCCCATACACTTGTATAAAATATAACACCTTATTTTGTGACTATTAACTGGAGATTGTCTCTTGGTAGGTGGCGAAGTCTGTTGTTATATCTTAAGGATCTGTAATTTCACTGATATGTTGACCACTGCAGATTGCAACCCCTCCATAACTTAATAGAGAGTTCCTAGGGCTGAAAAATTCCTCACCTACTAGATTGGTGATGATCCTTTTTGAAATGAACAGGTCCTTTGACATGAGATATGTAGCCACCACTTAGCCAGAACTTGAAACCTTTCCAGTTAAGCAAGACCTGTTAGAGCTTGTGCTGTTCTAGCATAACCTTTGAGAACCCAATATCACTTCTACAAGAGGAAGAATCGAAAGAAAATGTTAATGGAAGAGCAAAGTTACATGATGATTTAACACAGCAAATAGACCATGGAGAGCCCATGTTCTATATTAGTATTCTTGTGATGTCAGGGAAAAATGAAAAAGGCTTTTTGTTGGGTGGACCCTCTCTGGTAAACTTAAGGAAGGATATGAACAGGAGGCAGCCATGGATGGATTGCAATCTGCATAATTGGAAGGACTACTCAAATCCATGAGATCACAGGTCGATTTGAGTATAACCACAAATTCCTGTTGTACTGCTTCATGACCTTTGGGTAATCCATGTATTTTGCAAAATTTTGTTTTAGTTTAAAATACATCAGGGTAATTTAATGAAAAAGTAATGTGTTTTTTTAACCAGTATTTAAAAGGAAAAGGAGTATAATGGCAGAGGAAAAAACACAACAAATGTTAAAAGTATGTTTTTGAGCAAAATACAAGGGAATATTACTTAAAATTCATATATGCAAATGTTTCTGGTTTTCTCTCAATGCATCAGAGTCAATGTATAAGCTTAGAAAAGACATTTTAGACTAGTGTTTCTTAGCCTGACGTCTGTGAACTTTTAAAACAAACAAACAATATGTGTGTGTACGTGTGGGGGGTGTGTGTGTGTATGTGTGTGTGTGTGTGTGTGTTTGTGTGTGTGTTTTACTATTATCACTCAATCTCAGTTGTTAGATTTTTCCCCTAGAAACCAGTGTAAAATATAGCACATTATTTTCTGGTTATTAACTAGTCATTGTCCACCACTATATTTCAAAATGATTTCTTTCATATGTATTTTATTCTTCCGTGTATTTTATTTTATGCATTTAAAAACATTATTCTGAGAAAGGGTCCACAGGCTTTACCTGATTGCCAAAGGGATACATGACACCAAAAAAAGGTTAAGAACTCTTCTTTTAGTCTAGGTTGATTCTCTGGCTAGATCTTGTGGTAGGCATTAAAGGCATTTTTGTGAGTTACTAACAGATTATTACTAGCTCTCTTTACTGGTATCCTGCACAGTCCTCACTCCCCCCACCCCTTTAGTTACCTAAGAATGAAATATGTCATAGGAGATGATCACAATAATCCTTCATGTTTATGTAATGCTTTACAGTTTATAAGTACTTTCTTCATAGTAAACCAGTGAGGTAAATAGTCTAAATACTGTTATCCTCATTTTACAGATGAGGAAACTGAGGTACAGAGAGTTCAGATGACTTGCTAGTCATCCAACTAAGTGTTAGAAGCTGGACTCAACACAGCACTTCTGACTGAATCCAGTGCTCTTTCTATAACACAACTAATTAAATACTTTCATTTGTTGATGATTGAGTCCTCTATAACTCAGTTGCTATTGATTTTAACAGATTGCAGATGTGGTGGATAAGGAACTAGTACAACCCTTTGAGGTTCTGTTTGAAGGAGTTGAGTATATTGCCCGAGCTGGATGGACTCCAGAGGGAAAATAGTGCGTATGTTAAGTTATCTACTCTTTACATTGGGTTTAGGATCAGTAGCTTTAGAAACATCTATAATTCTAGATTTGTCTTTCATGTGGATATACTTTTTTATTTGAAAAAGTATCTTCTTACAGAAATATTAATGTTGTAATACAAAGACTTGAGCTGACTTACTGATTGGGAAACAGAATAGAGAATAAATAAAACTGCATTTTAATTCTATTACAAACTTAAATACTGTTTACTTGGATTAAATTTACCAGATATGAATTTGAAGCTCTTTTTTCTCACGATAATTTTTAGGCATTCACTTTTAATAAATTACTTATAGGTATGCATGTCAATAATTTAAAATTAATATAAATGCAAAGTTTCCATCTAACTTATGATAGATAGAGGCTGCATGCAGTTTGGGTGATGTGTTGACTTTAAAATGAAAAATAATTTGAAAGATTCCATGAGACTTTGGGAATTTAAAGAAAGAAATTTTTAGGTTATCTATTAAATGTTTTTAATTTTTATAAAAAGGATGCAATATCTTAATTGTTTTTGATAAGCATATTAAATCAACTAGTTCTGCAATTCTCTTTTCAATTTGCCATTGAAAAACATTTTTTCAATTTCTGGCAACTAGTTTTTGAATTAATATTGTATTATATTCTTAAAACTAAGTCCAACTTATTTTCTAATCAGTTTTTCTTTTTTTCACATAAATAGTGCTTGGTCCATCCTACTAGATCGTTCTCAAACTCGACTACAGATAGTGTTAATATCCCCTGAATTATTTATCCCAGTAGAAGATGATGCAATGGAACGGCAGAAACTAATAGATTCAGTGCCTGATTCTGTGACACCACTCATTATTTATGAAGAAACAACAGACATCTGGATAAATGTAAGACTTTTTTCTAGAGTTGGTGGTTAAATATTTCCATAATATGTCAATGAACATTGATTTTCATATAGTCAACTGTCATAATAGATTTAAAGAAAAAAAAGTCTAAAAGAAAAAATGAATTATTTCCCTGGTTTTTAATATTTCAGAAGGATTTTACTTCACTCTTACTTGATTGGCTCAAGGAAAGTTTGTTATGGTTCACCAGAAGTAAAACTTTCAGTTTTCTTTAATTTAAGATTATGTGCTTTCTTCTCCTCAAAAGTAAGAGTTTCTCATTTAAAATAAACAACCTTCATTTTTAGCATATGTGGGTTAAAACACTAAGGCATACTGCATTATTCTTTGGTATAATAAGAATACTAAGAACAGAGTTGCAGAATTAAGCAATGATGTAGATAGAAAGCTGATGCCATTGAAATGGCATCTCCCTGCTTGCTTATTTACAGTAGTTCCTGGAAACATCAGGTATTGGTATACAGTTACATGTTCTGTAGCAGAGTCAGCTTTGCTGAAATGACCTTAAGAGAATATTCTCTAAAGCTCTGTACTGTGCTTTTTCAAGATGAGAGAACTGTAGCAAACACAGTATCTAGATAAATTTGGAAGGTTTTTTTTTCCATTTTAAAATTCTCCCAGAAGTAGTTTAATCAAAAGATTTATCCATTTTATATACATATGTATTTGTGAAATAAAGTAAAAAGGGAATTTTAAAATGTTGAATTTTAACAGGAATTTAAAAACAAAATTATGTAGATACTGTGTTTGCTATAGTTTCTCTCAGTCTCTCTATGTCTCAATTTCATCATCTGTAAAATGTGGATGTTGGACTAGAATGATCTCTAAGGTCTTTTCTAACTTTCTATCTGTGATGCTATGATTTTCCACAATCCAAATAATCATAGTGATATAATGAACTGTGTTTTATCATGTTCATGTATTTTGGTTCATCTGAGATAAAACTTTTCTTTCTATCTTCAGCAAATATATTCTTAGCAAAAAGAATTTTAAACTTTTTTCTCACTATTTCTTAAGTAAATGTGCATCAAAAAAAATTATAAATTACCTCAGGTGATATGTTATGGTAGTATTGGGGGTGGTAGAATCAAATGAAGTTTGTATTTTTTCCTCCATCTAGAAAAACAAATTCATCTCAGAGTAGGTAAGAAATCTGTCAAGTTAAGATGAAGTTTGAAAGCTATAGGCAAAGACTGTAGTTGTTGTTGCAATGTATACTTTAATGCTAGTAATTTTTTTATACTTGAAGGTATATTAATAGTTATTTTGTTTTATTTAGTATATCAAATTATTTTATTTTGTGTGTAGAAAGATATTTAAGTGGTATAGTAAATTCAACTTTTTATTTCACAGATCCATGATATCTTTTATGTTTTCCCCCAAAGTCATGAAGATGAAATAGAGTTTATTTTTGCCTCAGAATGCAAAACAGGTTTCCGACATCTGTATAAAATCACATCCATTTTAAAGGAGAGCAAGTATAAACGATCCAGTGGAGGACTACCTGCTCCAAGTAAGGAATCTGGTTTAGAGGGTACAATGTGTTTTTTACAAGATATATAGTGATCTCAACACTTCCTGTGTTAAATTTGTTTTACTCAGAATTTTAAAAGTATATCCTCTCCTCTCCTCTTTGGTGGTAACTTAAATAGAAATCTCACAAATGGGAAGCAGCATAATGTAGTGGAAAGAGTCAGGAGACCTGAGTCTATTATGATTCTTCCAGTGACTCACTATAAATCATTTAACTTTTCTGGGCCTCAGTTTTCACCTCTGTAAAATAATAATAATAATGATAGTATCTTCCCTGAGTGCCTAATATGTTATCATGAGGTTCAGATGAGATGATGTATATAAAAGCACTGTGGGGAAAAGTACAAGGCACTGTGTAAATTAAAAATGGTATTACTGATAGTGGCAGAGCAGCATTTAAAATCTGTACATGTCTTTCATACTTGATTCATTATTATAGCTTATTTTCAGTTGATATAATTTGAAATATTTATTATGATGTCCACAACAAAAATAACAAACCACTTGATGTAATTTGTCTTAATGTTAAGTGGGAGTTTAGTATCCAAGAAATACTAAGAAATAGGAAATAGAGAACTGTGAATAGGCCATTAAGAGAGGAACGAATAATAAAAATTATGAAAAAATTATACCTATCTCCTCCATTACTGCCCTCCCCTTCTCTTCAAAAATAGGCATCTCACCCTGAAAGAATCACTAGAAATTTTTTTAAAACTTTTAAAGCAGAAATCATCCCAACATAAACAACTATATAAATTGTTTCCAATTATAGAATATGGCTCTGATACCCAAACTTAATGAGCAAGCACAAAAATATTAACTATTCTTATAATAATAATAATAATAATAACTACAACAATCGTGTTGAGGTCTATAAAGTGCTTTAAGATTTACAATGTACTTTCTTAATAACAGCCATATGAAGTTGGCAATGGAAATTTTATTCCCTTTTTTATTTCTTTTTTGGTTGAATTTGTGATTTCACCAGTATAAGAAATTCCTGGTGAGTAAATTTCCCCCTACCAATGCAGATTGGCAGCTGCTCTGCAACTTATAGCCTTGGAGAGTTATGTAGAATTGCCTGGAGCACTGGAGATTGTGACTTGCCCAAGGTCTCGTTGTCATTGGGTAACAAGAGGCAAGACTTGAATCCAGGTCATCCTGACTCTATTTCCTCTCTCTACTATACCACACTAATTTGCTGTCCATTTTATAGATGAATATATTCAACTCTGAAAATTTAAGTGCTATGTTGAATAAATGTTAGAGCTGGGCTTGAACTTGCATGCAGTCTTCTACCTCTAAGAACAGTGTTCTTTCTACTGCAGTCTTCTACCTCTAAGAACAGTGTTCTTTCTACTGCATTATTCTGTCTTCATGATGAATTTTACGTAGGAATATTTTCTTTACTTTGTGATAATAACAATTAGAAATAAATATGTGATTTGATTAGTCTGGGTATTCCCTCCATGAATGCAAATCACAACCATTCTTTGTCTTATTAAAAGGTATTCTGAGTTGTTATGGTTGAATAATTTTTTATCCTTTGCCCAACTTTTTGACAAGCCTTTCCAAACTTAGCTAATCTTGTTCTTAAGACGTACATTCTATTGCCAGACCTATATTCAAAGTTTTTCCAGGTCTATAGGACCTACCAGAATTTACTCTCTCCTGACATAACTTTGAGAATGCTGAGACATCTTCACATCACAATTAATCTTAGAGGTCCTTCCATTAATCCATCACTGTAGTGCCACCTTTCTAATGAAGCCTTCCCCGACCATATCCCCCTTGTGTCCCATCAGGTAAAGATAGTCCCTCCTCTCAGTGAATCTCTCCTTCCAACTTCTCTCAGTCTCCCTTGTACTATTATTATTGTCAGACATGTTCTTCCCCATGAGGTTGTAAATTTCATAAGGGTCAGGTCTGTCTTTTCTATTATGTTTTATATGTGTTTTGTATATACCTATATATTATGCACACATGCATATATACAAAAACATGTGTAGATGTGTGTATATATACATATACACACACATAAACACACATATATATACATATACACACACACACACATAAACACACATATATGTGTACATGTTGTCTCCTTGCAATAGAGTCCAAGTTCCTTTAGGGTAAATTGTTTTGTAATTGTAATCCGTAGTACCATTTTATACTTAGTGCTTAATTAGTTGAATATTTTGTATTATAGATGTGCATATTTTATCTATCCTCCTAGATTGAAGTTCTATAAGGGCAGAATTCTTGTGTTATTTTTCTCTTTGTCTCCCATAGAACCTAGTATAGTGCCTTGTGCATAGTAAGTTTTCAATAAATGTCATTTGAGTTGAATGTAAGGCTCATACAACACATTAGAAAAAAAAATATTAACCTACTCTGCCACATGTACAGAAAAAATATTTAGAATTATGTGATTATCCCTGCAAACATCAAAAAAGCCTTCAGAAAAATTTATCTTCTCTTCTTGAGACTCTGGATCCAGTGAGATAATCATCAATGAGAGTGTTCTTCTTTAAGTAAAGATCATCAACCCATCCACACTTTCTTATCCTTTGCATTTCTTTCCATGTCTTGATTAGAATCGTTTTTTTAAAGGTAGGTCTGGAGGCATTCTTAATATAAGAGATTTGAAACCAGAGTTAACATGCTTTATGGAAAAGGAGTAGAGTTTGGGCCAGTCATAGAGGAATGCACCTGTAGTCTCTGGTGCTGGGGAGGCAATACGAATCTCTTGAATTTGGTGATTCTAAGCTTCAGTAGGGCTAACAGCAGTTGGTGTCTACACTAAGTCCAGCACCTATATGGGGAGCCCCTTAGGAGTAGAAACCATCCAGACTAAGGCAGGGCAAACTGGCGGAGATCAGCAAGATGGAGTAGGTTAAAGTTTTCATGCTGATCAGTATTGGGATCTGGAATGTAAGTGACTGCTGCACTTTCAGTCAAAGCAAGTTATATAGAGCTCTAAAAGCTTAAGAGGAGTTTGTATTTTTTCCTAGAGGCAATAGGAGGTTAACTGGAGTTGGTTGAGTAGGGGAGTCACATGGTCAGATCTGCACTTAAGGAAAATTACTTTGACTGGAGGGTGTCGGAAGCACTAGATTGCATAGAGGCTGAGTCAGGAAGATGAATTGGAATACTGTTGCAAGAATCATTCAAGCAAGAGATAATGAGGGCTTGAACTAAGGTGGTAGCTGTGGGAGTGCAGAGAAGGGGTGGGACACATTATTGTAAAGGAAGAAACAGCAAGATTTGGCAACTTGACTGGATATTTGGGGTGAAGGAGAGGGAGGAGTCGAGGATAATGCCAAGGTTATGAACCTGAGTAATTGGAAGGACAGTGGTTCCTTCAACAGAAATAGGAAAGATTACAAGAGGGGAGAGTTTTGAGGGAACAATAATCAGTTCTGTTTTGGACATCTTGAGTTTAAGACATTCAGTTTGAAATATTTAATAGTCATTTAGTGATGTGGGACTGAAGCACAAGGGGAGAGAATGGGCCTGGATATATAGATCTAGGAGTCATCTGCATAGAGATGATAATTAAACCCATATAATTGCTGAGATTACAAAGAAGGATTATGGAGAGAGAAAAGAAGAGGACTTGGGACAGACCATTAGGGAACACCCACAGTTAGAGGACCTCAAGTGGAAGATGAGCCAGCAACAGACTGAGAAGGAGCAGTTAAACTGGTAAGAGGCCAACCAGGAAAGGGTAGTGTTACTAAACCCCATAGGTGGGAAGGTGATCATAAATGTCAAATGCAACAGCTAGGTTGAAAAAGGTTAAGACCGAGTAAAGACCATCCAATTTGAGGGTTAAGAGAGCATTGGTAACTTTGGAAAAAAGTAGTTGCAGGGGCAGCTGGGTGACGCAGTGGATAGAGCACAGGCCCTGAAGTCAGGAGGACCTGAGTTCAAATCCAGCCTCAGACCAAACATTTGACATGTACTAGTTGTGTGACCTTGGGCAAGTCACTTAACCCTGATTGCCTCACTAAAAAAAAAAAAAAGAGTAGTTTCAGTTGAATGATTAAATGAAAGACCAGATTACAAAGATTTAAGAGCAAGTGAGAGGAAAGGAGGTGAAAGCAATGAGTGTAGACACCGTTTTTTCAAGAAATTTGACTGAGAAAGGGAGGCCCTAGCCTTAAGGGGAATAGGGAAAGGCTTCTTGTAGAAGATGGAATTTTAGCTGGGACTTAAAGGATGTTAGGAGGTAGAGATGAAGAGGGAGAAAGTTCCAGGCTGGGAGAAAGCTAGTGAAAATACACACCCAGCAGATGGAGTGTCATGTTCAAGTTTATTTTCTTCAATTTATCCAGTGTATATCTTATTTGTACGTAGTATACATGTTGTCTCCCCATTAGACTGGGAGCTCCTTGAAAGCAGAGACTGTTTTTTGCCTTTCTTTGTATCCCCAGCACTCAGCACAGTATCAGGCACATAGAAGATGCTTAATAAATGCTTGTTGATGTACTGAAAAGCCATTTCAGAGCCAGAAGCTGAAATGTCAGTTTTGGAATGTTAGTAGACCAATTTGTCTGGAAATAGAGAGACTTGGAAGGGTAGCAATATATAGAATAATTATGAAAAAGTAAGTTTGAACATCTTAAGTAAAGATAACAATAAAAGGCAGCAAAACTCAGATTAAAAACAATGGACAGTGTTAGAACCAAGTTATTAAAGATAAAGCACACATTCTTTTCTGTTCATCAGTAAACTGCAAAAGTGTAGAAGGGCATATACTATGACTGAATCACTCTATTAGTTTGCTTTTCTTAACTGTTTTGGGGAAATATACTTAACAGGAGGTTTGTTTGGGTCTTTATGGGGAAGTGTCTGTTGTATTAAAAGTGTATCAATAAAAGTACATAAAGGAGTAGGTCAGAGCGACATTGTTAGGGGCTTTTGAATACCCAGATCAGTTGTTTACATATTTTTTTTTAGAGATAATTGGTAAATCACTGAAGATTTTTGGGCAAAGTAGTGACATGATCAGGCAGACATTTTTTGAAATATAGTTTCTTAATCTGGGGTATGTGAACTTGGTTTATAAAAATTTTTTGATAACTGGCATTTCAATATAATTTGTTTCCTTTTCAATTCCAAACTTTATTTTATTCCAAAAAAAGATTAGGAAATAGCTTTAGGAAAGATTATTTTAGCATCTGTGGACAATCAATTAGAGGAGGAGACACTAGAATCAAGGAAACAAATTAGGAGGCTATTAAAATAGTTCAGGTGAGAGGTGGTAAGGGCCTAATTAAGGTAGTATAGCTAGAGAGAATGGGAATGATTCAAAAGATTTTATAGAAGTAGAACTTCTCAAAAGAAATATGCTCAAAAAAAGAAAAATGATCAAAGAAAATAAGGGCATTTCAAGGGGGTGGGGCTCAAGGGGAGCATTATGAGTTCGTTTAATTTGAGTTGCTTATGGGACATTCCTGTAGAAATCTAGCAATGTAGCATTATAGTTCACAGGAAGATTAAGATTGGCATGTAGATCTGGGAGTCTTTTGCAAGAAGATGATAATTGAAAGCATAGAGGCTGCTGAGATCACCATGGGAAATGTTGAGCTGAAAAACCCAAAACTGAGCCTCTTCCCTATAAGGAGTGGTTAGCCAGGTCAGAAGAAAACCAGGATAGATCAGTGTCATAGAACCTAGAGGGAGAAGAGAATATTTAGGAGGAGGGACTGGTTGATAGTACCAAAACAGACACAGGGAGGGAAAAAAAGAACTATGAGGATTGAGAAAGATCTGTATGTTTAGTAATTGAGAGCTCATTGGCAGCCTTTGAAAGAGCAGTTTCACTAGAATAAACATAAATAAACCAGGAGACTGGAGAGACTGAGAATAGCTCTTTCTCAGAGTTTAGAATGAAGGAAAGGGTTAGGTGAAGGGTTTTTGTTTTTTTTTGGATAGGGAAGGGGAAAGGAATAAGCATTTCTATAGTGCCTACTACATACTAGGCACTATGCTAAGAGATTTACAAATATTATTTCATGTGATATATAGTAATAATAAGAATAGTAGAGTTTAAAATTATGGAGGTAGAATAGTTTGGTGCAATGATGATGATGATGATGTCAAAGATGTGACCTTCCTTGAGGATAACTAAGGTAGAATGGAAATGAAGGTCGTGAGAATTGGTAAAAATTTTATATTTTGAGGACCAGTAGTTAAATTAATATTTATAGACTGTTTGAAAACTCTGATTCTTGGTTCCCCATTTCCTGCTAGTTTTCTTTTATATTATTGCAGAGATGAAAGGCAGCTCACACAGAACTGAAGACCACTTTCTATTTTTCTTTGTTTTAAGGGTTGTCATGGCCAAAGAATTTAACTAATGGCCAGCATATTGGCAATTGTACAGACTCTCTGTACTTAAGTTAGTCCTCAGACTCAGACAGCTAAGATTTTATTGCTGGGACTATATTCAAGCCTTTTCAGCATGGTAGAAACTACTGAAACTTGTGTTTCACTGGCATCTTACTAGAGATCCCAGGGTTACCTCCACACAATAATGAAGCAATGAAGGTATTGTTGTGAAATATTCCATTACATAATTAATGTCATTAACTGATTCTACAGATACACATATTATGGAAAGGAAAAAAGGAAATTATATTATAAGTGGAAGATCATTCAAATGGTTTTATTAATGGTTGGGGTTTGATACATCATAGCAGAGTTTGGTTATAATTTATTTGTGATGTTCATGTCTTTAAAAAGATTTTTTATTCACATTCTCTCCCTTCTACTGCCTCCTCCTCCACCCCAGTTGAGAAAGTTTGAAAAACAAAACCCTTGTTAAAAACATTTAGAGTCAAACAAAATGAATTCCCATATTGGCCATGACCAAAAGAAAAATCACAGTACATATTCTCATTCTATCACCTCTCAATTTGGAGGTCAGTACCATGTTTTATCCTGAGTCCTCCAGAATTACAATTGGTAAGAGAACCTAAGATAAAAGTTGTTTGTCTTTGCAGTATTACTGTTATCATATAAGCCTTTCTCCTTGTTCTGCTCATTTCACTCTGCATAAGTTCATATAAGTCTTCCCATGTTTCTCTGAAGCCATCACCTTCATCATTTCTTTCTTTCTTTCTTTCTTTCTTTTTAAGGCAGTTGGGGTTAATTGACTTGCCCAGGGTCATACAACTAGTAAGTGTTACATCTGAGGTTGCTTTTGAACTCAGGTCCTCCTGACTACAGGGCCAGTGCTCTATCCACTGCATCACCTAGCTGCCTCACCTCCTCCCCTTCATCATTTCTTGCAGTATAATGGTATTCCATCATATAATATACCATAACTTATTCAGCCATTCCCCAGTTGATGGGCACTCCTTCAGTTTCCAGTTCTTTGCCACCAGAAAGAACTGCTATATCTAATTTTGTACATATGGTCCTTTTTATTCGTTCTTTGATATCTTTGAGGTACAGGTCTAGGAGTGGTATTGCTGGGTCAAAGGGTATGCACAGTTTAGTAGCTTTGGAGGCATAGTTCCAAATTGCTTTCCAGAATGGCCGTACCAGTTTATAGTTCCACCAATAGTGTATTAATCACTTTTCTTTTTTGTCAGCATTGACAATCTAAGAGTATTGAGGTGGAACCTCAGAGTTAATTTGTATTTCTCTATTTTTATACTTCTATAGATTTCTTCATATGACATTCATTTTATTATATTTTCATAGGCAATTTTCAGAGGAAGAGATCCAAATTATTAATACAGCTTGAACCTCTTCCTGATAGCATGGATATCTTCCTATGAAAATTACTAATTCATATTCTTTGACCATTTATCAATTCAGGAATGACTCTTATTCTTATACATTTGAAGTTGCTCCCTATATATCTTAAAAATTGAACCATTATCAGAGAAATGTACTGCAGATTTTTTTCCCCATTTAACTGCTTCTCTTTTAATTTTAGCCGGATTGAATTTCTTGTGCAAAATCTTTTTAATTTTATGGAATCAAAACTGTCCATTTTATCTTCTTTGATCCTCTGTATTTCTTGGTTCTTAATGAGCTCTTTCCCTATCTTTATTTTTGATAGGTAATTTCTTCCTTACTCGTATTTAACTGAATCTCCATGTTCATTTGGAGAGGAAGGGTAAAGAAGCCTTTAGAAATACCTACTCTCCTGATCCTATGGATTTCACACTCTGGTAGAGCACAGCTATGAAATTTGAAGAGGCTTACCTGCTGGGGAAGTTTGGGCACATCTTCATAAAGACCATAGTATGTCATAGTGTGGACACGGCACATTGGTGGGCCTATAGTCAGGAAGACCTGAGTTTAAATCTGGCCTCAGACATCTGCTAGTTATGTGACCTTGGACAAGTCATAACCTTTGTTTGCCTACATTTCCTCAACTGTAAAATAGCACTTACCTCCCAGGGTTGTTGTGAGGATCAAATGAGATACTTTTTGTAAAGTGTTTGGCACAGTGCCTGGCACATAATAAGCATTATTATATAGATACTAGCTATCATTATGATGATGATGATTATTATTAATATTGGTTTAAGATGTCACCTTTTATGTCTAAGTCATACACATTTGGAACTTGTCTTGGTTTATAGTGTGAGATGTTTGTCTATGCCTCGTTTCTACGACTACCACTTTTCTCAACAGTTTTTATAGAATAGTGAATTCTTGCCTCAATAGCTATGGGTTTATCAAACACTAGGCTACTGTGCTAGTTTGTTTTCTTTATATTGTTTACCTAATCCATTACCCTGATCAACCCCTCTATTTATTTCTTTTGTTTTTGTTTTTTGTTTTTGGCAAGGTATTTGGGGTTAAGTGACTTGCACTAGTAAATGTCAAGTGTCTGGTCTGAGACCGTATTTGAACTCAGGTCCTCCTGACTCCAGAGCTGGTGTTCTATCCACTGCACCACCTAGCTGCCCTCCCTCCCCTATTTATTTCTTAACTAGCACCTAATTGTTTTGATGATCATAGTTTTATAATATAGTTTGAGATATAATATTGCTAGATACCCTTCCTTCCTACTTTTTTTTCGTTGATTCCCTTGACTTTCTTGTTCTTTTTGTCTTCCAGATGAATTTTGTTATTATTTTTCTAGCTCAATAAAATAATCCTTTGGTGATTTGATTGGTATAGCATTGAATAGGTAAATTTCTTTAGATAGTATTGTCATTTTTCTTATATTGGCTCAGCCTACCCACAAGCAATCAATTTTCACTTCAGCATAGTTTAGGGCAGTTTTATGAGGGATATATTTCTAGAATCCTACTAAATTTTCAAATTAACTATGGATTTATCTTTAGGTGATTTCAAGTGTCCAGTCAAGGAAGAAGTAGCAATTACAAGTGGTGAATGGGAAGTGCTTGGCCGACATGGATCTAATGTAAGTTCTTTTGGTTTGGTTAACATCTACTGTGTCATGCTATAAAATGAATATACAAATTAAAATGATTCCTGGTCTTAGATCAGGTGTTATGGAGAGCTCGAAGTTGATGGGGAAGAGAAACAGAAATTTGCCTTTTATCTGACTCATTAAAGTGATTTAATAAGTATCAACATTTCATGATTTGTCCTTCATAGTAGTTTGAATTTTACTTTGTCATACTTGTAATTACAATGTTGCAGTACTACTTGGATCAGGAGTTATCCAAAGGATTACTGGTTTCATAGGATCCTGAAGAGCCATCATGTCATTAATGTGTAACATATACAGTTGGCTTGATGTGTGCTACTAGCATTTAGAACAGGACTGAATGTGACTGCCACAAATTGATATGGGACTTATTAAAGGATTATGTGTACTAGCTACTGTAAATGCTGCCTTTTACTCTTCAAGGTAAATATAGAGAGAGAATGAAGAACAGGAGCCAGACTTGTTTGTGTGAATAAAGAATCATAAACAGTCAAGTGGGGAATAGTCTTAAACATTAATTCCTAGTTAAAGTCTAATATTCTCTAATGCCGTTACAATATACATTTTTTTCATCTGTTCAGAGACTCAATCCCCTTGCTATTAGCTGTTACTTTGTATCACTTGAGAAAGTTTTTGTACAGAGTTCTAGGGCTGGCGGGGCAAAGAACAAGCAGTGGTGGAGTATCTTTGATTATTTTGTGACAAAGAAAAATAATCAGATTTTCAGTCTGTCAAAGGAATTCCCAAAATTTTCTTCATGCAGATCTGAAGATTAGCCCAGGACTGCCAATCTATGGTAATAATGCCACCTGGATAATTGATAGTGTCATTTTACCACTTAACCATTCTGCATTCCATTTTTCTCTCTATTTTCTCCTTTTACACTACTTTTATTTTTCTTCTCCTTTTTTCATTCCCCCTACATATATGTGTCTTAGACCTACAAATGAACTGTAGTGTCATTATATTAGCTGATGGCACTCAAGATCCAGCTTCTTGTTCCCATCCAAGGTTTCCAATGTCATAGGATCATAGATCTAGAACTAAAAGAGTTCTCAGGGACCATTTAGTCTGAACCTTCATTTTACAGATGAAGAAACTGAGCCACAATGAGATTAAATGACTTGCCTAAGGTCACACCAGGTAGTAAATGTCAGAGGCAAGATCTGAACACAGTTCCTCCGACTACAAAGTTCACTGCATCATGCTGTGATTAAGAGAAATGTTGGTTAAATCTTTGACATTTTTGAGTTAAATCACAAATAAATTTGGACTTCTGGAAGGAAGAGTAATAATTCACATTTACATAGAATTTTGCAATTTTTGTGAAACACTTTCTTCACAGCAATCATTGGAGGCATATACTAGAAATATTGTTATTCCTACTTTACAGAGAAGAAACTGAGACTCAGAGATGTTAAATGGTGATCTTATGCTTAATAAATGACAGCGCCCAGGACTTGCATCCAGTTCATCACACTCCAGTACTACATCTTTCCATTCTGTCATGCTGCTCTTTCTGCATGTGGGCAGAGAATTGATTAATCATATTCAGTTTTGGACAGTCAGGCTCTCAGCTGCTGTTTGAAGACCGTCTTTATAAAGGACAGTAAATCTTAACATTTTACAGGGATTAGCAAAAACCTAGGAAGTCCCTTATGTCTGTGTCTTGTGCTAACCCACTGTCTTCCTCCATGTAGGTATCCCGTATACCCATGTTACCTCTAGTGCAGCTTATTTATTTCCACATTCATCCAGGAAAAAAAAATTCTTTCATAGTAGAAAACACTTAACTTTTTTTTTTTTGGTGAGGCATTCAGGGTTAAGTGACTTGCCCAGGGTCACACAGCTAGTTAAGTGTCAAGTGTCTGAGGTCGATTTGAACTCCGGTCCTCCCGACTCCAAGGCTGGAGCTCTGTCCACTGCGTCACTAAGCTGCCCCTTTGCACTTAACTTTTTAAAATGAGACATTTTTTTAAATCAAATTTTAAAGATATGACTAGGCCATCTGAAAAAGTTACTTTGAGTTTTAGCAAATATTTCATAAATTGTTATTTTTAGAAAATAGATCGAGTTTGTATCTACAATAGTAGAAAACGTACAAAGGGATAACTGAAAGAAAATATCTTTTTCAGGACCTTAATGTAATTTAAGAATGTCTAGTTTGTGCTACTGTGAGATTCTGTATGCTTTCTGAGTAAAGGAAACCTTTTTACTGTACCTTCTTTCACTTATTTACAAGCTACACTATGGTTGTAACTGTGATTCTGAATTCAAATGCTCCAAGAGAATTTGAAATTAACATTTTTCATATGTGGAGGTAATAACACAGAGAGAGAGAGCGTATATAGTAATTAGAAGGAGGGGCTTGTAGTCTGATGAGTTGGGTTCAAGTCTTATCAGTGACACTTCCTAGCTGAGTGATTTTCAGCAAGTCACAGCTTTTCAATACTCCCAGTAACTCTCTAAGATAGTAAGTTGTAGATGAGGTACCAGTCTGCATTGGTAAAGAGTATTTCCACTGAAGTACACCCATGAAATCACAGATCTGGACCCAAAAAAAAAAAAAAGAAGAAGAAAAGAAAAAGCATAATGGGTAGAACAATCCTAACTAGCTGGGAAACTGCCCAGAACCTTTGGTCATAGAAAATAAAGTGCCAGTTAAAAGAATCCACATAATGCCTCCAGGAAAAGAAAAAAAAACCCTGTGATGCAAATTCCAAGATACAGTTAACTTGAAAAGTTCCATTGACAACAAATTCTGCAAGCTATCATTAGAAAGTCCTTTAAATATTAAGGAAAGGAAATTCACGTAACATAGGCATAGTTCCAAATTGCTCTCCAGAATGGTTGGATCAGTTCACAACTCCACCAGCAGTGCATTAATGTCCCAGTTTTCCCACATCCCCTCCAACTTTTATCATTTTCCTTTTTTGTTATATTGGCCAATCTGATAGGTGTGAGGTGTGGTACCTCAGAATTGATTTAATTTGCATTTCTCTAATCAATAGTGATTTAGAGCATTTTTTTCATATTACTATAGATAGTTTTGATTTCTTTATCTGAAAACTACCTGTTCATATCCTTTGACCATTTATCAATTGGAGAATGACTTGTATTTTTAGAAATTTGACTCACTTCTCTACATATTTGAGAAAGGAGGCCATTATCACAGATATTTATTGCAAAAATTTTCCCCCAGTTTTCTGCTTTCCTTATAATTTTGGTTGCATTGGTTTTGTTTGTGCAAAAACTTTTTAATTTTATATAATTAAAATTATCTATTTTACATGTGGTAATGCTAAGAGATTTCTTTCTAAATGTACACAAGAAGACATGCAGAATTCAAGTAGAAATGATGATGGATAAACAAGCCTGAAAAATCAAGACCTAAGTCTCACAATACTCCACCTACAGGTCTGAATGCAGAATCAGTGTTTTTACAGGACTAAATTACAGAATGGGATAGTGCATAAAAAGAGAGTAGGGTGAAAGAAAATAAGAGGGTATTATGTGATATAGTCTGGGCAAGTCAAAGGCTAGCAGTGAAGAGAAAATTACTCCTATAGTCTCTCAAGAAGAAAAAAAACCAACAAATGGGCAAAGAAGCAAAGGCAGAAACTGAAACAGAGAAAGAAAGGAGAAGTCTTGTTTCAGTGATGAGAAAGGGTACCACTGATGAATGCTCCTATAGGAGAATAGATATTCTATAAAGGGAGACCAGGACCTTAAAATGGATATAATCTACAGGGATTTGGTGCTTGGAGAGATTACTTTTCCTGCCTCAAGAGAAGAATTATAGCTTCTAGGGACAGCTGACACCCAGAAGAATGGAAGGAACAGATACAAAGAGATTTGAAACACATGAGCAAAAAACTGCCATTGGAAGGCCCAAAGTCAAAAATGAACTGCACAATCAGGAACATAGGAAAATTTCCACCATGGAACAACATCTATCTATCACCTGTAGGAACTGGTATTTCTAAGAGTGAAGCACAACAGAAAAAAAGGGAGGGGGCCAAGAGGGCAAGATCTTTAGAAGAAGCCCGAAGTATGTACCTTAGAAGCTTTATTTCCATAAGGAATCAAGACTAAAGAAGGACTAAATAAGTGTAAGAACCATGGATCAAATAATAAAAATCTAGAATATACAGAAAAGGAATATAAATAATGAAACTGATGGAAAGAAATTTTTCATAGAGAAATGCACAGAAAATGGAATTTTAAAAAACTAATGAACAAAACAATTTGAAGGAGAAGAGATGAAGGGGGATTTTTTTACTTGTCTATTTATTGAGAAGGAAAAAAAGAGGAGCAAAATTAAATAACCAGATGAAAGCAAGCAAGAAAAAGAAACTAATAAGTTAAGGAAAAGTCCAAAACTAGAGAAAAGGATAACTGGGGGAGGGGGGGAGGGGAGTGGAGAGGAAAGTTGAGCGGAAAGAGAGAAAGGGTGTTAAGGATGAGAAGAGAGACAGTGGGAATAAGGTTGCCTTAAGATATATTAAGCTAAAATGATCGAAGAGACATAGTACTGTGTTAACAGAGGAAGAGGGGAAAAAGTCTTAATTGGGGAAAAAAATGTATTAGAGATGAATGGAAGAAAATATAAAACCTAACTCATAACTTTAAATGTGAATGGATAAACAATCCAATAAAATGGAAAAGTGACAGATTGGATAAGAAAACAATACCCCACAATCTGTTGCTTACAAGAAATACAATTTAAAAACAAAAACAAAAACCCTAACCCTAAATGTCTCATGATGGAAAATGCTATCCACATCCACAGAAAGAATTATGGAGTTTGAATGAAGATCAAAGCATACTATTTGCTCTTTTTTTTCCTTCTGTTTTGTTTTGTTTCCTCTTTCTTGTGATCCCTTCTATTGGATCGAATTCTTCCTTACAACATGACGAATGTGAAAATATGTTTAATAGGAATGTATATAGAGAGCCTATATCAGATT